AAAAACCAACCCCAGAGCAACTCAGGAGAGGCGTAAAAAAATAAAATAACATAAAATAAAATAAAATAAAATAAAATAAAATAAAATAAAATAAAATAAAATAAAATAAAATAAAATAAAATAAAATAAAATAAAATAAAATATTGAGAGGCTGCGGATGAAAATCCACAGGGAATCAAAAGAACCCCCCCCAGACTCACCCAGCTCCTCCTGCAGCTCCGCTGGGGAAGCACAGAGGGAGAAATTCCGTGAGAATCCCCCCCGGGAACGGCCCCGAATTCCCGGGATGGGGAAGGTCCCGCCACTCACCCAGCTCTCTGTCCCGCTCCTCTGCAGGAAACAGCCAGAAGGAACCTCATTTTAATCATTCTAATCATTTTATTCTGATATTTTAATCGTTATCTAATAATAATTAAATAATAATTACTATATATTATATATTACACATCTTTATTACATTTATTATATTTATTATATGCTGCCTTATCACAATATTTACATACAATATTTATCATAATGTACATATTATAAATAGTAACATACTAAAATTAGAATTTTCATTAGAACTTTATTTATCATAAATTTATAATAGTAATGTATTTTTAATAATATATTTTATATATGTATTTTAATATAATATATATATATGTATTTTAATATAATACATATATACTGTAATAGGTATAGAAATAGTATAATAAATACATCATTAAGGCAATAAATTAATATATGGAAATATGAACTCCATTAATAAATACACCAGAGGATGTACAGTAAGTAAAATATTTAATATAGGAAACCTACTAATATATTAATAAAAATAAACTGTGAAAGGGAATAATATATCATATAATCATATATAAAATATCCATTTATTTTACATTTATTTTACACTTATTTTGCCCTTATTTTTCCCACTTATTTTGCATTTATTTTACCTTAATTTACCCCTTTATTTTTGTTAATTACTGGTGTATAAACCCCACCAATCTGCAACCAAACCCCACCCCCAGAACATTTACCCAGAGCCGCCTCCAGCTCGGCTGGGAGGGAAGAACCCAAAACTCCTCAGTTTGGTGGATTTTCCCCCCAAAATTCCCGGATTCCAGGGGGGGGTTTGGGGAGGGGGAGGGGACACACGCACCGATCCTGGCGTCTCGTTGTCCTGGAATGGGGAGGGGAGGGGGAAAAAAAAAGGGGAAAATTCAAATTATCCCCAGGAATTCCCTCCTCCCTGTCCCTCCCCCCCAGGAGAATCCACAGTTTGGGGTTTGGGGTTGGGGGAATCCCCGGGTTTTCCATCCCAAATCCCGAATTCCCAAGGAAA